TAGATCTTTATTTATATGGAACTGAGCCCAATAGCTTTTATTGAAGATATCCTTGCAACATTTTAGGGTGCTTTTGCAAGGATGTCGTTGGGGCAGCACTTATGAGTACTGATGTGCTGGCACAGCAAGTGTTTGAAAATCTAAATTCTTTTTCGCTCTAATAGTCTAGAATGAGAAATAATCCCATGCTAAACAAGTCTTAAATATTCTAGCTCAGTATAATAGAGTTTAATTTTTGGTTAGGATAACCACTAACCAGTAAAGTGACCAATATTTGCCTGGGATTGAGCATACAAGTATACATTAGACGTTGTTAAATCTGCTAGTGCAGAGTTTTTGTTAAAGCCTCTCTCTCCTCTCCAGTCTTAGAACTCCTGAAATTAATTTGGCCATAGTCAGGCTTATTTGATGTATGTGGAAATAAATATACAAAGTAAAAATTGCATTACAAAGCATTTTATATAATGCTATTCAGATTATATTATTTGTAACACACTAAGCCTTTTGCATTGCCCTTAGTTGGAACTTTTATTACTTTTGCAAGTAGTCTGTGTAGCAAATTTTACAGCCTTATTTAAAATGCTGTGAATTGCAATTTTATTTTTGAAAAAACAAGCAGTTTTATAGCTTACTGTGGCAATTTTTTGTTGTTGTTGTTCTGGCTGACGATAGGATTTGTTACATTACCTGTTGTGTAGATATTTATTTAGTGAAGGCAACACTGCCAGCTAGGTTTATGAAACCAATCTAGAGCTATTTCAAAAATAAGTTTTCATGTTTAGTCCAAACTGTACCTTTATCAATATACAGTAAAAAGTAATTTCAGAAATATAATCAATTAACAATTTATAAGGTAAAGGTTCCTTGCTCGAAAGCCAGTCGAATCCGACTCTAGGGTTGCGGTGCTCATCTCCGTTTCAAAGCTGAAGAGCCAGCGCTGTCCGAAGACGTTTCCGTGGTCATGTGGCCGGCATGACTAAACACCAAGGTGCACGGAACGCTGTTACCTTCCCACCGAAGTGGTACCTATTTATCTACTTGTAATTTCTTGCTTTCGAACTGCTAGGTTGACAGAAGCTGGAACTAGAGATGGGAGCTCACTCCATCATGCAGCACCCGGGTCTCGAACTGCTGAACTACTGACCTTCCACAGCCTGCAGTTCAGCATTCCGTGCGCCTTGGTGTTTAGTCATGCTGGCCACATGACCACGGAAATGTCTTCGGACAGCGCTGGCTCTTCGGCTTTGAAACGGAGATGAGCACCGCAACCCTAGAGTCGGATTCGACTGGCTTTCGAGCAAGGGAACCTTTACCTTTACCTTTAACAATTTATACATCACTTTTAATCCTTTCAAAAACAGCTACATTTTTCAAAGGGGTTGCTTTAGCAATGGATGTGGGTCCCGATATGTTCCCCCCCCCCCCAGAGCAATCTTTTATCAGGTCTTTGCCAGAGATGCTAGTTTATACATATAGATTGACTGCTTTCAAACACTCTACTTTCACTCTAATTTCAAACAACAAATACAAATACTTCTTTTACTAGGATTTGGTAATTGCAGGCACCAACCTTCAGGATGCCAGGCACAATAGCTGCTTTTGTTGGTCAAGTCCTAAATCTGCAATTATTCCTCATGTGTTAGTTGGGAGGATCTTGTTCATAAGCATAGAGTGAACATTTTTCTTCAGTATATAACAACTGAATGGCTCCTAGGAATCCAGTGAACAATGCCAAACCCTTCTTTCCTTTGGGAAGCATAAAACCCCTTTGCTCTTGGAGTAGGGGAAAAAATGGAATCCCATCAATACATTCCATTTTTGGTTCATATCAGTGTTATAAAAAAGAGCAATGTTTTATATCTCTTTCTTATTACCTTTTCAAGGGTTTTTGTTTTTCTGTGTGTGGGTGCATGCTCTAGTATGATACTTTGAGTGCAAATATAAGGCATAGTATTACCTCCTTATAGAGAATTGAACTCCCTTTTATCATTTCCATTTAATTTTGCTCAGTTTACTGGAGAAAATACATTTTTGTTGCCATCATTACTACAGCTTGACTTGAGCAAATGAAGTTATCATCTTTTTCATTGTATATCATTGCACATAATGAACCAATTTCTGTAATGTGCATATTGGCTGATTGGTGGTGATGGTGCATACATCAAAAGAAATACAAATGGTTCTTCACAGGCTTCAGTGACCTCAGAGTGCCTGGAGTAACGTTAAACTTATTTTGACTTGTAAACGGAGCAAATGTGACATGAGGGTTATAGAATAAGGGCATATATGTATCTTCCAACCCCTTGTTTTGACATAGTGCCGTCTTCTTTCAGAGGAACATTTTACCATTTTTTTCCTCTGACATGTTTCACCTTTCACTAGTTATTCATTCAACTTTTCCCTAAGAGATGAATTATTATTCAGGTACATATCTCCTGGCAAGCCTTTGAGAGTTCATCTCGTACTCTTTGCTGCATATATGTGAGCATTTCTAGTTTACCAGTCAGTTAGGAGGAGATCTGTGGAGGGAACGGAGCAAACATATGCAAATAAATGACAAAAATGTTATGGGGAAATCATTTGTGTGGAAATGTTTTTGATCAAAAAATATTGAAAAGATAAAATCTTTTTGGTTAGCTCAGTGTCTGCTCTAATCTTGTACAACGATTGGGATAATTTCTTAGACTATGTGATACTTTGGCCTTCTGTGAGTGGAGACAGCATTGAAGATCCAGGGTAGAAGTCAAGTTCATAAAATCCTGAGCAATTGCACACACTCAACTCCAGGGTCAGAGACAGATCAGTCACCATCCTTTGGAAACTTAGTTCTGGCCCAGCCCTCTATCCATCCTGGGCTGCATCTGTAAGAAATGCAGAAAGGGTAACCAAATGATCAGGGTTAGTACAAGCAAAGCTGGATGTTTTTGAGACATTTTACTTCATAAATTAAGGTTACTGGGAAGGGGGATCAAGACAGGGGATACAGAGGGCGTTCCCCCCTTCATACTCCTAAATGGAGTTGCCCAATGAAATTGATTGGCAGGTTCAGCCTAAACAAAAAAAATATTTTTTCATTCAACATATAACTAACTTATGATATCACTCTTATGAGACAGCCACTAGTTTCAACACATTCATGATTATCAGTATGTCTTAGCCATAAAAGCTAATTAGATTTTCCAGCTTCGCCAGCAGTGGTATCTTTCAGTGGTAGAGCCTATAGAAACATATAGGCTTCACCCCCTTCCTGGAAACATCTGACTGAACACAGCTGCAAACAGGCTTCTGAACAGATCTAATCCATTGGGCCAGATCCAGCAGATTTATTCTTGTGATTAGTAGCTACTGGAGAGTGTTAACAGTGTAAAGGGTTTCTGGGTAGCTTTTTAAAAATCAAATTATATCTTCTTGAGTATTGATATATTTTCATTTTAGTTAGGGGCTTGTTTGGCCAGATAATGTGTTTTTTTTAATGTTAAATATAGTTTTATAATGAGTAGGTATGCTTTGGATTTAAGGAACTTCCCTGACTCCACTGGACCCCAGGGAAGGTATATGATCTCTCAGAGCAGCACAGTTTTTCCATGTGCGGCTTCCTTCTGTGAGAGGTGGAAATGGTAGCAAATAGGGAAAGGAAGTCCTTATGAATGGGTGGAGAAGAGGCAAAAAGGCCTAGGAGACAAAAGGGTTATTTTAACGTGTTTCAAATGGGACAATGGTAAAAATAGCAGGCTTTTTGTTAGACTGAGTGAATGTTTTGTTTACTAATAGTTTATTGCTGATTTTATTAACGTTTGTGCATTATATATTTCTTGTATTGTTTTTCTGACATGCTTGAGCCTGGTAAAGGGAAAAGAAATATTTTAATTCAGTAGAGTCATGAGCTTTTAAGAAAGTGGTTAACTATGGAGATCCTTTTGAATTTCCATGGTTTGTTATAGGTTAACAGTTGCACACCAAAGCTTAATTCTTTAAACATTTTCGGATTCTCCAAAAATAGCTCCTGTATGGCAATGTTCCAGTTTGGTGTAGTGGTTAAGTGCATGGACTCTAATCTGGGAGAACCAGGTTTGATTCCCCACTCCTCCCATTGCATCTGCTGGATGACCTTGGGCAAGCCATAGTTCTGGCACAGCTGTCCTTGAAAAAGAGCAGTTTCTGTCAGAGCTCTCTCAGCCCCACCTACCTTACAGGGTGTCTGTTGTGGGGAGGGGAAAGGAGGGGAGTTTGTAAGCTGCTCTGAGACTCCTTTGGGTAGTGAAGGCGGGGTATAAATCCAATCTCCTCCTCCTCCTCTTCTTCTTCTTCTTCTTCTTCTTCTCCTCCTCCTCCTTCTCATGCAGCATTAGAAAGTCCCCTAACCATGGGTTATTGCTTTAATCACAAGCTGTGTTTCCATGCCAGCATCAGCCAACACCAGAGTTGTGGAGCTCTGGTTTGGATATGCTGCTTACAGCTGGATTTATGCATATGGCATAGAACTTGGCTCACCACACAAGCTGTCAGGATGTGCACTGTCCTTTTTGGTGGCTTCCATATGAAGACTGTGCCATTTCAATCAGCCCAGCCCCAGGGGAAAAAATCTATTTCATGTGTTCAGTTTTGTGTGAAATAACAGTGTTAAAAACCACCCAATCCACACAAAAGTTATGAAACTGCCTTGGAATTCTCACATGTTCTATCTGTTCATCTTATATGTTTACTTTAATGATACTGCTCTTACAGCCAATTCAGGTCTGAACAGTGTCACACTAAGATTCATCTTATATATTTGTAAACAGATATTACTAAACAAAACCACCCACCCATAGAGAATCAGTACACTGTCCTGAAAAGAAGTCACAGAATATTTAAAAATTAGGACAAGACTTCTAGTATTCAGAAGAAATAAACTAAAATAGCAAATGCCTTTGTTTATTGACCATAAAATAGCATCTGCAAATTATTTTTGTGATCGATGACCAAATGTCAGCGTTTTGAGCCTTGTAAAAATACCTTGAAGAAGATGTTTGCCCAGGTTTTGCTGGTTCCTTCTTCCCCAACCACACAGCATTTTTCTAGGAACCATTTCCCTTTAAAGCCTAGAAAGAAAGAGAAACCAGAGGCAAAGCTGTGTTCTGTTTCTTTGACTAGGAACCAGCAGAAGTTTGTAGCATGTGGAGAGAGGCAGAGAAGGCAGCAGAAGCAAGAAAGCAGGACATTTTGACTCCTTGCCCAGGGCAATCACTCTGGCCCATGTAGATAAATAACAGTGCAGTCCTAAACAAAGTCACAATCTCCCAAATCCTTGAAGTTGATCAGCTTAGAGGGGTGTGACCCTGTTTAGGATTGATCTGTAAGTAACAAATTACATGGCTGGGCATTTTTATAGTAGGCAAATGTCTGATTCCCATAGTTGTGGGTTTGGGGGGGGGTTGTATTTTAAATAAATACAAATCCAAAAAGTTACTTTTTCATTTTCGATTTAGGCTCCACTTTGTTATTCAACCATACATATACTTTTGACCATCGTTTCTGATACACTTTATCATCTTTACTCTGTAAATCAATGTTTAATCTATCCATTTCGGCTATTGCAATCAATCTGCTTATTATTTCTTCCCTGGTGGGAATCCGCTTGCTTTTCCAGTATTTAGCTAACAAGATTCTAGCTGAAGTCAAGATATATGTTATAAGATAAGAGTCATTATGAGTACAGCTGTCTGGAAGTATGTTTGATTTTTAAAATTCTGACTTTAATGCTAGATCTATGTTAATTATTTCTCGTATCATGCTACGAATCTTTTCCCAATATTTATAAATCTTTCTGCATCTCCACCACATATGATAATAAGTACCCACATTATTCTTACATTTCCAGCAGTTATTTGACATGGCTGGATAACACTTAGCTATTCTATCTGGACACCAATGCCATCTATAAAAGAGTTTATAGATATTTTCTTTGTACAAAGAAGACCTCATAAATTTTAACGCTTCCCAAATTTTTTGCCAATGATCCAATTCTATGTTATATCCTATGTCCTGCATCCGTGACCATCGTATTTTTAACTACCTTGTCCTCCATATATTCATTGAGTAAGAAATTATATAGCTTCCTGATGATTTTATCATCCATAGGTAACCAAATTTTATCCAATTCAGTTTTTTGTTTATAAAAACCAGTCTTACTATCCATACTAAATCTGGATTTTAATTGTCTAGTTTCCCACCACATTAAATGGATATTTTGGCTGTGGAGATCTTTCTCCTGTTTTAGCCTCTCTGTAAGGTAAAGGTAAAGGTTCCCTTGCTCGAAAGCCAGTCGAATCCGCCTCTAGGGTTGCGGTGCTCATCTCCGTTTCAAAGCCGAAGAGCCAGCGCTGTCCAAAGATGTTTCCGTGGTCATGTGGCTGGCATGACTAAACACCAAGGCGCACGGAACGCTGTTACCTTCCCACCGAAGTGGTACCTATTTATCTACTTGCAATTTCTTGCTTTCGAACTGCTAGGTTGGCAGGAGCTGGAACTAGAGACAGGAGCTCACCCTGTCTGGCGGCACCCGGGTCTTGAACTGCTGAACTACTGACCTTCCACAGCCTGCAGTTCAGCGTCTTAACCACTTGAGCCACCGCAGCTCTGTATCATCCAATAAATCTTCATAACATACTCTTTTTTCTTTATTGATTAGAGTGGGCTTTATGAAAGCTGCCAGGGGTGAAACCCATCTAGGCATTTTTTGGTAATAATGTTCTTTTATCTCTTTCCATATTTTTATTAAAGCTCCTCTTATGATAAGTTGCTTGAAGTTTGAGTGTATTGAGTCTTTCCTGTACCATATATACGCATGCCATCCCATGCATAAATCATGGCCCTCCAGCTTCAAATTTCTGATGTTTTCTAAAGTTATCCAGTTCTTTACCCAACTTAATGATGCCGCTTGTAATATAGGTTCCAGTTTGGTAAACCAAACCCTCCTCTTTCCTTTTTATCTTGCAACACCTTCCATCTAATCCTTGGTTTTTTAGAGTGCCAAATAAATTGCCTAATATTCTTGTCCAAGTCTTCAAAATATGACATTTTTTAAAGTATTGGTAAATTTTGGACTAAAAAGAGGATTCTTGGTAACACATTCATTTTTATTGTTGCTATCCTACTGATAAGGGATAGTTGTAGATCTTTCCATTTTATGAGGTCCTTTTTATTTCTTTCAGTAGTTCATTGTAATTATCCTCTATCAAAGAACTACTTCTATTTGTCACCTCAATACCTAAGTATCGTGGTTTTTTGCCACTAACATTGAAGAGATGTCTTGTATTTGCACTATTTTTCATTAAAATGTTAGTCTTTTTAAAATTAATTTTAGCCCCACTACTTGCCCATATTCTTGTATAGCTTTGATCAAATGTGTGATAGATATTGTAGGATCTTCCAAGATAAATACTAGGTCATCAGCAAATGCTTGTAGTTTGTATTCTTCTTCCTTTATTTTCAACCCTTTTATTTGGGGATCCTCTCTTATTATATCATTTAATGTTTCTAAAGTGAAAATAAATAATAAAGGTGATAATGGGCATCCTTGCCTCATTCCCTTCTGTATCTCAATGTTCTGAGTCATGTCACCATTTATTATCATTTTTGCATTTTGTTTTGTATATATTGCCTTAATCATTGAAAGAAAGGATGCTCCACAGTCCCATAATGCCATTTTTTGATGTAAGAATTCCCAGTTTACATTATCGAATGCTCCAGAGTCATGTACATCTTTCTGTTTGGGCCATCATTCAGGGATAGGGAAATTGTTCTCTAGCCTTTATTTTCAGTTACTTATATGTCAGTTTTACTTACAAAGTTTCATAATTATGTCTCCGTAACCGTGTGCTAGGTTACTTTGTACACAACTTGATGTGTTAGATAAAAATAAAATAAAAATCCAAAACCAATAACAGTTGCCAGAAATGTATACATGGAAAAAAAAAACATGGTGTAGTGCTTACAGTATTTGATTATGTGACTAGGGTTCAGATTCCCACACTGCCATGAAACTCACTGTCTCTGATTCTAACCTACTGCACAATGTGTTGTGAGGACAAAATTGAGGAGGGAGGGAACATACAGGCTGCCCTGACTTCCTTGGAAGAAGGGCAGGATAAAAATGTGCTTGAAGTGAAAAATATTTATAAAAGACTTTGTTTTTCAATGATATTAGGGGAGTTTTCATTGCAGTGTCTTATAAATAAGTCAGGTCATTCCAAAATTTATTACTGGTCAGCTGGGCAAACACATGATTTCAGTTGACATGATTCTTGGGAAAAGTCTGAGTCCAGTTGCACCTTTAAAACCAACAAAGGTTCATTCTGGGTATAAGCTTTTCAAATGATTCTTGGGGTCAAAGCACAAAATCAGCCTTTATTCCAGCTTGTTGTTTCCTTCTTCAAACAGAGCTACAATGAACCTGTGGATGTTAAGGTATCCCAGCAGCCTCAGATGATTAATACAAAGCAGTCAGTGTTCCATGGATCTACACAGCCTCACTCGGCACTGTACCTAAGTTCCCATTATCACCAGCAAGCGGGAATGAATCCTCACATAACAGCCATACATCCCAATATTCCTAGGAATATAGCACCTAAACCGAACAACCAAATGCCTGTGACTGTTTCCATAGCAAACATGGCGGTCTCCCCACCCCCATCCCTTCAGATGAGCCCTCCTCTTCACCCACATCTCAGCATACAGCAACACCAGCCGCTTACAATGCAGCAGTCCCTTGGGAGCCAGCTACCGATGCAGGTCCAGTCTGCTTTACATTCGCCTACGATGCAGCAAGTAAGTCCTACTTAAATTTGGAAACCTGTCTCAGAAGTGTGTGTGTGTGTGTGTGTGTGTGTGTGTGTGTGTGTGTGGCTTAATCATTTGTGTCCTCTTTTTTTATTCTCAGCTTACAAGCAGTGTTGGTGCCTCAGATGTAAATTATAGCCCCCTGAATGTAGCTTCTGTCTGTGGGGAGAGACCAGGGGCTAACCTGCTCCAACACCACATCAAAGATTCTAGTATACCCACACCCTTTGGATCAGGGAGGCTAAATGGCAGAAATGCCTAAGTGATTGTTACATATTGAATGGCTGCCTTTTCCAGCATGTTCCCATGAGGAAGCTTTGTTCTTTGCAGCAGCATCTCTTGACAATGGCCCTTTTTTCTACAGCATTTTCTGCAACAATCTGGGCCCAGGCTTTTTCAGTGGATGCCCCATACCGCTGAAACAGCCTCTCAGAAGGGGTCAGGGGGTCCTACCCTCCTGGTTTTCCAACAAGGCTACAAGACATAGTTGTTCAAAGGACTTTGGGGGGCAACCTGAGCCTGAATATAAGGAAACTACCCTGATGGTGGGGACATAAGGTGTTTTTACATTGGTTGTTGATGTATTTTTATGTCTGTTGTTCTAATGTTTATTGTTTTATTAAATTGTTTTTATCTTGTTACTTTGGGTCTTGAGATGCTCAGAATAAATGCGGGCATATAAATATCTTGAATGAATTAATTAATATATTTCTGCCATAACCCAAGATGTTGGCAATTTTATAGCTATATTGGCAATGTTAAAAACAATACTCAAGGATACAGTGCAAAACTGCATTTACGGCATTTGTGATAGCTAGAAGAGGTAGTTCATATATCACAATGGATATAAGTTCAATGAGCTCTTTCCCCTCCCCACTTCTATTAGTATAAGACCCTGTACAACAAGGTAGAGAAAAATTCATGGTAATGAGAATCATGGCTAGTAACATTAATTGCTATGAAATGTGACTTTGCTTTCATTCTTTTGGCCATCAGTGACACATGAGAGACTTCAGATGACCATTACTCTACCAAATATTATTTTAAATAAGCACATAAAAGTGCTTGTATGTTCCTCAGTCCCAAAAGGAAGCAATCCTCCTCTTTTCACTGTGTCTCAAGTAGCCTAAAGTCCCCTTTTTCTGTCATGCATTTGACTGTAGCTGGCATGCCATCAATTTATATCTCAGCATGGAAATATCTTTGTATTCTGATATATTATTGTTGGCTTTTATGACCCACGGCACTTTTATGACCTCCCTCCCCAGTACTATGCAGGTGTTTTCATTTAGCTGAAAACTGAAGTGACCAGAGAGTTTTCATAAGTGGTGACAGTTAATTTAAAATTTCAGTATTTGTGAGTTTCCCCACTTATATTTTCAGTAAGCTTTAACTTGTGTATGTTATAATGAATCCATCATGTTGCTCATTCACCTAGACGTGTAGCCTCTCTCTGGAGGCTTTCATAAGTTGAGTGTCAGATGTTACCTTTTAAATCATGAACTTCTTAGAAATAGGCAACTGAGGGGAAAAGTCTGAATTAGTCCAAGTTCTTTAATGATCATAAGCTAACAAAAAGCTTTGCAGGAACTTGGCAGTAACCAAACACAAAATATTCTATATAATATTGATACAAAAACTAAGAGGTTATCAAATCACAAGCATTTTGCTATGAGTCTTCATAAGAGAATTTCTTCTAATAGGAGCCAAAGTCACCAGTATTGTTAGGAAATTCAAAGCCATCCTTCCTTTGTCTGTCTCTCACACATGCACACATCTGGGGTTTTGCACGTTACCACATCTTGAGGATGAAAAGCATGTGTTTGACAGTTTTGTGAATACTTTAGGCATAACTTTCAGATGGAACTCTGAATTCCTTCTTGGGGTGTTGAAGTATGCATAATCTGGCTATAAGCCAAAGCCACATTACTCTGTTCCAACAATATAAACTCCCTGTCTTTTTAAAGATATTATTTGTGGCATTTCTCTAAATCGTAACATACACAGTAGCTATCATATATACATACCTAAATCTACATAGTCTTAGTATGTCCATCACTCTTCTATTCCACTAAACCATTGATGAAATAATAATCAAAGCTTTTGCTCTTGTGTGTTGTTACTTCTGAGTCTCTAATGTTGCAAATGAGAATAAGCCTATGTACTGCTGCCCCAATGGAGAGGTGCTTCTTCCCAAGGGCAATAATGTATATAGAGTATATGGAAACCATACATATTTTTGAAGTACATTTTTACTGATAATTCAAAATACCATTGATTAGGTTTATTTTTATTTAGCAGTATGCCTTCATAAATGGTCATTTAATAAATCATAGTTTCATTTTATTTAGTTTGGATTTTATTCAGTAAACTCTTGGGCATGCTGGATTTTGTTAGTGTTTCTTCTCTGCCATCATTTTTTCTCCACACCATGTTTTTGAATGTGGTTAAGAGGCAGAAAAATCATTAATATCTGTCAACTGTCCTTATAACCTTAAGAGAAAATCTTCGTATGATATCACACGGACAGATTTTCAATTTCCTTGTGTAATAAACAGATGCTTTAAGATTTGGATGTAATTTAAAGGTTTAAAAACATCACATTGAGATTGATGAATAAATCAGTCGTAAAGACAAAAACATTGATGCCTGTTGAAAATACCTCTCCAGACAGGCAGGAAATGAAATTAGTTCCTGGTAAAGTGTAGAGATGAAGATCACAGTTTAGGTTGTGCTGCAGGCTTTTTAGTACTTGCTGCAGTTGCACACAAAACCTCCAGCTAGGGATACAGAAATCTAATTAAAGAGCAAATGTCCCATCTGACATCAAATTAATCTTTATCAAGTTCTCTATTTTTTATTTCAATCTGGCACAAGAAAATTAAATTTAAAATTCGAGGCATGTCACAGAAACAGTTGGTGATTTTATCTTGAACATTACAATGCAAAAACATTTGGCATTGTCTCATTAGCCCATGGAATATCCATTTCCGGAATTATTTTTATTGCTGCTCTGTTTGCAAAGTCCTTACATAAAATAATATTTTAATATTTCTTTGTCACAGTGGCACACACATCCATTGCTTTTCAAGATCTGCTGAAGCTTTTTTGCCAAAATTTGGACATGATTGCCTTTTGTCAGCTTTACATGTCTAGAATCCTTCAATTATGTTTTACTAGCTTTGGCAAATAAGTTTCCTGCAAACAACATGATTTCCAAAAAGCTTAGAGGGGCATTAAAACATTTGGATAGTTAAATTGGGGGGGGGCTACAAATATGTATTGCATTGGCTTGTGGCTATAGTGGGCAAGGGGATCTGTCATCTGGATAATATGAAATCCTGAAAACTAATATTCGTGTAACTATTTCTTGTGGTATGATAATTGTGTTTAATGCTTTCAGTCAGGATCAATAGCTGTGATTGCTTTTGTAACAGAACAACAACAAAAAATGAGCAAACGTACTAGAAAAGCTACTCATCAGATCTGCCCCAATATCAAATTTGAGAGTTCCAATATGAACATCAAACCACCCATTTAATGGATGGAGGAGCAGTATTATGTTAAATGCAGGCTCTGTTTCCACTATCTGCTACAGCGCTTTCTACAGTTCATTGAAATGACTTCCTTTTGTCTGAAGAATGTGATTTGTAGATCGAGGTACTGTGGTTGTATTCACAATTCTCAAACTCTGATTAGTCTGTGATTAGAACATGTCTGGTTTATCTGTAGGATCACACATTTCGTTCCCCTCTCTCCTACACTTTCCCTTTGTGCGTGGAGATGAGATTGAAAACTTCCTTGTATGAAAAGAAACTCTGGGATTGAATAATGGTTTAGAACCCCAGTTTGTAGAAAAGGGAAGGAACACTGGGATTTTTTTTCAAATGTCCCAATTTGGACAGTACATCAAACTGATTTCTCTCAAACCAGCCAGCCTCCAGTCTCACTTTGCATGAGAGATATATAAATTCTGCGATAAATGGCAGTCTATTTAAATCATGATTATACAACTTTATACAAAGCTATTTCATAAACTGTTTTAGCTAGAGGAACTGCAATTGGTGCTTAGTCTCATTGACTTCAATGGGTCAAGCAGTTCAGTAGGTCTCAGTCAGCTGAAACCCAGCTCCTGAAGCTTAAGTGACCTATTATTGACCTGCTCATTTTCTTCCATTATAATTGGAGCCTGTGTTTGAACTATGAATATGAAAAAGTTTCCTTAACTTCTTGTAAGTATCAAATAACCTTGAGAAAGTACTATACCTAGCTAGATTTCCTTCAGGATTCTATTCAGGTACCTGATGCTTTAAGAGAAGTATCTACTATGACCCAAAATATGTTATTTTCTTAAGCATATTTATTGCAAAAATATGTATAACTAAAACTTTCTACATAAATAACTTCTGGATTCAAGATGTGTGCCTTAGACTGATTTTCTTTGGTAATTAAAAAAAAGGCCAGAATCAACATAATTGTATTTATATTACAGTTGAGCCAAAACTTCATGTCTAAATTTGCCTGTTTGATGGAGAGTTTGTTGACTAGCTAAGCAAATCTCATGAAGCTCAGAAGTGTTTCTCTACTTTTTTTTACCAAGACCTAGACTGGTAGGTGGGGTAGTGTGAGTAACATGAGCTTCAGTAGGTTTACAAATAGCATATAGAGGGATGCTGCCTAAGCTTTAACACCATTTGGGGCAGGAAGTCCCCTTACATTTGGTCAGATAAGTTCAAAGTGGCACAGCTCTTGTGCTTCCATGTGCTGTGCCTTGAGCGCTAGGTCAGGACCTTCAGAGATCCCCGGAGACTTAAAAAGCAGCCTTCTGTGTACTTTTGTACACTTGTTTTTAGTATCTAAGACTGGGATAAAAAGTAAAATTTCAGTGACGTTTCAAATCCAGTGATCTGCAGTTGAGCAAATTTTCTATTATATGTTCCACCACAGAGGACCATTTCAGTGCAGGTTTGTACACTGCATGAGTACTACTTTGGGTTACAGAATGCCCAGGTAATTGAGGATAATAAAAAGGACCGGTAACTAGATGGTAGTTGCTTTAAAATATACCACATTGTGGCAGAAACTTCAGGAAAGAGGTTTCTGTTCAACCCAATTAAACCTTTTGCTTTAGCAAGTGCATCTTCTTTTGATGTCCTTGGAAAGTTCATCTCTTTAGACCCATCCAGCTTGTATTCCTTAAGCAGGCATTAGCCAGTTTATTGCTGTGCTTGTACACTATAAAGTACCCCTAACCTTTCGGCAGCCCTCTTTGTTTATTTAAGCTAAATACTGTATGGAAAAATCAATGGTTACCGTTCTCGAAAATCTGACCAACTCTGCTGCTTTTGGCAAACAACGTTTAAGCATGGCTCACTCTTGGCTGAAAACAACAGTAAGGGTCCCCCCCCTCCCCTCTGTTTTTGCTACATTAGTCCAACAACTGTTAAAAAGCCTTAGTTGGATTTTTGTGTAGTTGAGAAAGAAGTGCAAATAAAAGAAGCAGCAGATGGTCCTTTTGTGACTGCACCAAATAAAAGGGGTTTGAGAACAATAATTGTGAATAGGTGTAGTCTAATAAAACACTCAGCCACCTGCTGCCTGCATCCTTCAAAAAGATTCTGTTGCATATTCTTGGAATTAACTAATAGTGTATCCTTGGGTTGAATCGAAATACGAGCTGTAAGAAACATACAGACCTTTCTTTTATTTCCCTGTGCTGAATGAGTTGTTTTTCATGGCTTTTAAAATGTCTCTATTCTTTGTCTTGGAGTTCTATACTATTGCAGTGTGTTATCTTGCATTGCTTCTCAACCAATTAAAATTATTTCTGAAAAGACAAAAGCATCTTATTCCCCCTCCCTTTTTTTTTTGCTTGGAGAACATAGAAACAGAGCTTGGGATTTTTTCAAGACTTTCAGTTAAGATGTTAACTGGGCTAATCGAACCTTGCTTTGATTTTTTAAAATTTGTTTTGGTTTGTTTCTTTTCTTGTTTAGGGCTTTACTCTTCAGCCTGACTACCAGAATATTATCAACCCTACATCTACAGCTGCGCAAGTTGTTACTCAAGCAATGGAGTATGTTCGTTCAGGGTGCAGAAATCCTCCAGCACAGAGTGTGGACTGGAATAATGATTACTGCAGTAATGGGTAAGCAGCCAATAAATGCCACCATGCATTGATGAGTATTTATGACATATGTTGAGCAATTGTTGTGGTATCTATTTTTTTTATTCTTGTTGCCTAAATATGATAACAAGAGTTTAGATACATTTGTTTACCTAGAGGCCTGTTGTGAAAAAAGCATTTTAAAAAGTAGTAGTGTTTTGCTTTGTATCAATTACATTTCACTTTGTCTAGGAGAGCCAAAGGTGGCAAACCTTCATATATTTAATTGCAAAGAAGTCTCATATTTCACTGAAATCGCTGAGACATGGAACATTGTGTCTAAATGCTGTAGTCAGAGGAGACAGTGTTAACTTGGGGCTACAATCCAATGAGCTCTTTTCCCCATGTGATGTAGTTGCTTAGTGTTGTTGTGACAATAAATGGAGGGAGGGGCTTCCCTGAGCTCCTTGGTGATAAAAATTTATTAAATTAATAAGCAAAACCTGTGAAAGAAGGGTAGAGGTTGTCAGAAGGAACTTTTCTCACTTTTATACCCAAGAGCAATCTCCTGGCCTTGGCCTTGTACCTCATCTCCTCTCATCTGCTAGATAGTATGAGGGTTTCCTACTGTAAAAGGAACAACGCCCCCTGCAATAACAAAACTGATATTCATTTCCTAATCAGCACCAGAGGAAAGCTCCACTGTCAGTAGATCCAAGCCACTGTGTTGTTTGTATCATGACTACATAAGAAAACCTTTGATCATGTAGCTACTACAGGGAGGGGGAGAGGATCAAAAGTGAATCTATTTATCTAGCTTCACTAAGATGGAACAATCTGTGTATCTTTAGTATACTGAATCACAAGCCCTTGTGTTCAAATACTCTGCAGGATCAAAAAGGTCTGTGGAAGTGGGATGGAGTAAGTCACATGGGCTGATAGATGAAAGGAATATAAAAGAGAAATTAGCCAATGTTCAGCCTTGATTGGATCAAGTACTGCATGGAATTTTGCCATAAAGCTGAGTAATTCCCCATTACTTGTATGTGAGTCTGATTCAGGGACTGAGATGGTGTTCATGTGTGCATGTGCATGCATGTATCTTGTCTTTTTGTGGCAGGAACCCTTTTGAATAATTCATTTATGGGTAGAAAGTCCAGGATCAAGTGAGTCGGCCAATGCTGGTTTAACCCACTGGGAATTCAACTTTGTTGATTGCTGCAGCAAACGTATTTGCATGCCTTGTCACTAGCAATGAAATATGCATTATCTATTGGTGCTTTTACACCCACCTCCCACACAGCATTTATTTATTTATAATTTCAGTTTATATATTGCCCTTCTGTGAGTTCACAGGGTTCAGGGCGGTTGACAGCAACAAAAAATACAATATAAAACCGAAAATAAAACACTCAGGTTAAAATTAAAGAACATTAGATGGCGCCAAAATAAATACAGTATGTCGTTTATAATAACCACAGGCCCCAGTCACACAGGAGGTTTTGCCCCGCAAGAGGGATGGATCAAGGGCGCAGCGAACGGACGCAATCACACCGCAACATCTGGGAAGCGATGAGCACCTCTCCCCGATCCGTCCCTTCAGCCCGAAAACGCGCATTTAAAAAAACCTAGGAAAGAGTACTACCAACCTGAAACGCCACAGCAAGCGTAGCCATGGGATCGCCGGCGTGCCCGTCTTCAGCAGCATTCGAGGCTCCCGGCCGAACTGCGGATGCGCACACATGCGCAGCCAGCTGCCTCGCTCTCTCTTCTGTGGCTTCCCCCCCCCCCCATCTGATCATGCCGGGGAGCAACTGCACGGCGGCTCCGGGGGTCTGTCTGATCCCGCCCCCACGTCTTTGGCTGCACCAATTTCCCCCGTGTGACCGGGGCCACAGTAGCAGAACAGGGAACAATTGCAGTTTTTTAGTTCACGTGCAAAGGAAAGATGTTTTCCTGAAAGAGAATTGCTCCATAAAGAAAAGACATTTAAATACTTATCACAACTGACATACATTTAATCAGGCTATCTTCTGGAAAGGTCCCAATAACCTGATATTGAAGTAGACTTGCCATCCCCCAGTGGGGTAGCTGGTGCTTGTTTCCGTCGCAGCTTGGAGCAGTGGCAGAATAATTTAAAAATGGCCTTTGGACTGATGGCATGCCATTAGTTCCAGAGGGAAAATCCAGAAGTGACATCAGGTCTTTCACTTTCAGAAGTTTAGAATATGGTTACATGGGATAGGCCTTCTCGGCGGCAGTTAGGGTTGCCAGCTCTTAGAAGACACAAATCTGGCAATGGGGCCCGCTCGTCTTGGATTTGCTGCAAAACTGAGGGAGGAAGGAACAGGAAAGGCAACATAGGAATGAAGACTGTCATTCCTCTTCATTTTTAAAATTATCAGAATGACCTGAATCACTCTCTGATCTCACCCAAATTCTTCTGAGTCTTTCTGATAATGAGGGAAACATATATAACTAATAAGAAAGATAATTAAAAATTGCCCCTTATCTCCTTTATAAGAAAACCCATTCATCTGACATCTAGCCAGTCGTGCCAGTGGAAAACTGGTCATCCTGGCTTAGGAGAGTGTTTTAATTTGCTTAATTAGATCTGATTGTCTCCTTACCCTGCTGCTATTTACAGTTATATTGTTTTATCTGGCTGTTTTTGCTGAATATTATTCTATTGAAGCAATGTGTTGTGGAATAGTAAAGGTTTCACATATTGTTGATTTTATTTTAGTCTTTCAAGTATACCATTACTCTGAAAGCTGCATTGGAGAACCCATTGTGATGAAAAATGGGATATGAATATTTTAATAAATAATATGCATTTTACTCGGGAGATGGGAGCATACTGATTTCAAGAGTTAGATGCCCACCTAATATCTGGTTGTGATGGCTAATGCTAATTTTTGTTCTCTTTTTATTCACCTTTGTCTACAGGGCCATGCAGAGGGACAAAGCCTTGTACCTCACCTGAACATGTTTGGGGAAAGCACCTCTCCTTTCCACTGAGGAATGCAGGGAAGTCTTCTCATCATGATTGCTTTGTGCAGTCAAGGCAGTTCTGCATTTATTTAGAGAATATAAGTTGCTAAGCACTTAGGACTATTTGAGCTGGTGGGTCATTCACTCTGGGAAAAAAATAGTCTTGCTCCTTCTTCCACCCCCTTCCTTCTTTTTCTTTCTCCTCCAACATCCTTTAATGGACATTGCTTTTCTTCTTTTCTTTAAGGAAGGAGGCTTGGACCATTCAGATTTTATGTTGGTTTTTATTTTTGCTGTGAAGTGCTGCGCTAGTAACTGCCTTAGCAACTGTAGTCTTGGATAAAAGTCCTGGATTTTCCATTGGTTTTCATAATGGGTGTTTATATGAAACTACTAAAGACTTTTTAAATGGCTTGATGTAGCAATCATAGCAAGTTTGTAAATAGCATCTATGTTACACTCTCCTAGAGTATAAAATGTGAATGTTTTTGTAGCTAACTGTAATTTGAAACTGGCTCATTCCAGTTTATTGATTTCACAAAGGGGGTTAAATTGGCAAACATTCATATTTTTACTTCATTTTTAAGCAACTGACTAATAGTCTATATTTTCAAACTCTTTGAAAGAAAAAAGGAAAAAAATATTCCCAAATGAGTTTAATTAAGCAGAAATTGGCTTTGTGTCATTAATTATACAAAAAATTTAGTGTTGAGAAAAGAGGAAACACATTTATTTTGTACTGCCTAAAACTGCTTTTTTATCACTTTATGTGTAACGGTTAGTAAACGTCATTTACGTCCTCTTATGTATAAAACTGCCAAATGCTTTCTTGATATTTTATTAGATGCAGAAACAGATTGGAAACAGCTAAATTATAACCTTTACATATGGCTATGTATTATTGTTTCTTCATACTGTGTCTGTATTTAATCTTTTTTTATGGAAGCTGTTGCGCCTATTTATGAAATAATAAATATAGGTGTTTGTAAGTAAATTTGTTAGCATCTTAAAGAGGATTTTTTAAAAAAACTAATTTTGTTGGCATCAATGTATTTGCTGCTGGTGTGGATACTTTTAGTTTTTACCGTGATATGAATAAAGTCAAACCAGCTTTTTTTTTTTCCTCCTGGGAGAAAAAAAATATTCTGCAGTTCATATGCTGATCTGAGACCAAAAGAGAAAAAGATACTTCCCTGTTTCTCTAGTCATGCAAGAGGAAACTGTTCAAGTAAAACATTATTTGGTCCCTATTAGAGGTGACTGAACAAGGAGACGCAGATTGCAATCCAAAGTCTGATGTGTACAGGGACATTCCCATACTTTTCTGTGAAGGAAAGCTTTCTGTACATGCACCGAGGCTGTGTTACATGCACAGGTCATTCCCCTGCTTGTAGATGACAACAGGGAAACTGGCTGCACCAGTACAGTTTCAGATAATGTGCTGGGTGCTAGAACATTGCCACCATTTGTAAATGGATGCCTTTGGTGGTCAAAGAACTTCTCCCCCAAAAAGCAAAGGGGAATTAAAATAGAAAAAGAAAACCAAAATTTGAAGTTACCAAAAATGCTTCAGGTACGAAGGCAAAGGAGCTATGTGATGATCTTTTTTTTAAGTAGGAATTAGTAGAAACAAGGCAATTTCAGTGCCTCCTAAGTAACTACAAACTGAAGAATAGAATAGTGATTAAGAGAGACCAAAACTAAATATTAGATCACAGATAATTAAGTATAACCCATCCTAGTCTCAGGGTTCTCGGAATGTATCTCCCTACAGAAGAAGGAACAATCATCATCTGAGTCCCAGTAATCTCAAAATCTTCCATCTGTTTCTTGACCAGGCCTGGGATGGGATTAACCTATGAATGTCCCCATGAATGTTGATTAACAGCACTCTAGTTTGGGGGGGGGGGTGTTCTCTCTTTTTCCTCAGTCATCCCTCTCCCCAAGCCAAATGAGCATCAGACATATATCTTAGGCAACTTCATTTCCATTTCCTTCAGCCTGCTTGCCCTAGGCAACACGTTTTGTCAGGCAAGCCATCTTTCTGTGTTTTGGGGAAGATTACAACGGTAGTTTCTTTTCTTAACTTTGCTTGCTGTGGCAAAGCCTCAGAACCCCTGTACTAATCTAACTGATAATCAGTTGGCCTCTATTTCACATGAGAAATAGAGACATTGTGTTAATCCAATCCCAAAACAATGTAACATGCCTAAAAATACAGTATGTTTGCTTTGCAATGAAATTAGGCAATGTACTACCTTGAATCACTTGAGCATGTAATAACTAATAAATAACGCAGATCAGATGTAATTACTCAAATGGCTGTAGCTGCATTCTAATTTTCTTGTCTTGAATCCATATAGGCAATCATGATTACATCCATAATGTATTGTCTTTCTGTTCAGTAATTTATAAACATACCAGCACTAGCAATTAGATGTTTTCTATTTGTTTTGTTAAGGTAAAACGTCATTTCCCATTCAAATTAACTCTATAAAAAGATAAGACAATGAGTGGTTATGGGAATCATTTTTGACAGAACTTGATGCAAGAATGTTGTACCATCAGCATTGTTTCTAGAGAGGGTACGCTGACATGGTATACCATTTATTAATTTCAGTAGCCAGCCCAGGTTCAAACTAGAAGCAAATCTTAATGTCAATAAAATGCATCATAAATAAACTACTTGTGTGTGGAGATGTTGCTATTTGAATATCTACCAATATTTAAAGATTTGCCTCTTCACTGTCATTGGAGGTACTTGAAACCCCTTCCCACAGAGCAAAATTAAACAGCAGCCAAGTAGCACTTTGTTAAAAACTAACAAAATTTATTCTATGCAAAGGTTTCAAGAAAGTGAGCTCTGACTCATGAAATTTTACGTTGGAATACACTTTGTTAAACTTTAAGGGCTACTGGGCTCCTGTTTGATTTTTCTACAACAGACTAACACATCTATCCCTCTGAAATTATTCCCAGGGAGCAAGTAGACATCACGTGAGTTCCGTGGAAATTCTGGCTTGGATCCAGTGATGAGCAAGTGAAAATGCACACCAACTTAGCACAGTTCTGCGTAAGCAAGGTTGCACAATACCTAGCGCTTTCCTCCCTATTTCTTACAGTCTCCAGAAATGACTTACACAACATCTTGCACAAGTACAGTTTGGGATATGCTATGTTTAACATAACACAAGGGTCTAGTGTGAGGGGGTTTGCTTATACATCCACGTCTGTGTGGACCCTAGCACATGTGGAATTCTTCCAGTGAATCCAAGCCTCTGTGTCCAACATAATGGTAGAATTTGCTGTTGTACAATATAATCATAGAAGAAAATGTTTAGCCTTGTGTGGTTGAACTGTCCTGCTCTGACCTTTAGGCCCTATTCCACCGAGGCTTCCAAGGCATCTGGGCCCTCAGTGGCTGCCCAAGGTTTCTACCTCGCACATCCCACCGACCTGGCTTTCCCAACACCTGGAAGGGCCCCCCCTCTCTCTGTTCAGCTGCTGCCACTACCTGGCCTTTGCAGGAATTGCCCACTGAGAGGACCAAAACTCCTAGCTTCATTTCCAATGCTCCCTCTAAGCTGTAGAGTCTTATGAGCAAAAATTCTACTTTGTGAGCTACTGGCATTAAACTTGTGAGTGAGCAATTTGGCTACTACATAAATTAGTTTGCTCTGGAGCCATCCTTCCTGAGCTGAGACAAAAAATGTGTGAGCTGGAGGCTAAAAAACTGTGAGCTAGCTCACACTAACTTAGCTTAGAGGGAACACAATTCACTTCCCAGTTCTGAGGCCTCACCTCTGTGTCTCCTGCTATCCAGCGTATGGTTGCCATGTGGACAGCTTACTGTTTTGTCTGCCACTGGGAGAGTAGCCACTTGCCAGCTGACTGCCTATCCCCTTTCTGATGCTCCTTTTTAAAATACCATGCCCGAATGATGGAGATCTAACACAGTGCAGAAAATTGCTATGACTGATAGACAACTTTAAAACTGATAAATCGCCAGGCCCAGATGGCATACATCCAACAGTTCTGAAAGAAATCAAATGTGAACTTGTGGATCTCCTGACATAAATACGTCATCTTTCATTAAAATCTGCCTCCATTCCTGAGGACTGGAAGGTAGCTAATGTCACTACCATATTTTAAAAGGGTTCCAGAGGAGATCTGGGAAATTACAGGCCAGTCAGTCTGACTTCGACACCGGGTAAGTCGGTGGAAACTGTTATTAAGGAAAGAATTAATAGGCACATTGATGAACAAAAACTATTGAGGCAGACTCAGCATGGGTTCTGTAAGGGAGTGAACAAACATGTGGACAAAGGGGACCCAATAGATGTTGTTTACCTTGACGTCCAGAAAGCTTTTGATAAAGTTCCTCATCAAAGGCTCCTAAGTAAGCTCAATAGTCACGGGTTAAAAGGACAAGTCCTTTTGTGGATCAAAAACTGGCTAATTAATAGGAAACAGAGAGTGAGTATAAATGGGCAATTTTCTCATTGAAGGGTGGTAAGCAGTGGGGTACCGCACGGATCAGTACTCGGTCCAATGCTTTTTAACTTGTTTATCAATGATTTGAAGTTGGGAGTAAGCAGTGAGGTGGCTAAATTTGCAGATGATATGAAGTTGTTCAGGGTGGTGAAAACCAGGGAGGATTGTGAGGCACCCCAAAGGGATCTGTCAAGGATGGGCGAGTGGGCGTCAACGTGGCAAATAGGGTTCAATGTGGCCAAGTGCAAAGTGATGCCCATTGAGGCCACAAATCCTAACTATAAATACATGTTGATGGGGTCAGAACTGTCAGAGACTGACCAAGAGTCATAGTAGATAACTCAATGAAAATGTCTAGACAGTGTGCTACTGCAATAAAAAAGGCCAGTGCTATGCTGGGGATTATTAGGAAGGGAATTGAAAACAAATCAGCCAGTATTATAATGCCCCTGTATAAATCGATGGTGCGACCTCATTTGGAGTACTGTGTGCAGTTCTGGTCACGACACCTCAAAAAGGATATTATAGCATTGGAAAAAGTGCAGAAAAGGGCAACTAGAATGATAAAAGGGTTGGAACACTTTCCCTATGGAGAAAGGTT